ACTCTTGTGGGTTTGTTTTGCCTTTGTTTTGAATCGACGTTTTGGATGACGCGATAATGAAAAAAAACAGTGAACAAAATTTCCAGTCGAAATTGTTTTTAACAATTAGTTAAGGTTTTCAGTTGAGATAAAAAAGTCAATGGCACGAGAGGGATTCGAACCCACGATCTTCGGCTTGATACGCCACTGCTCTACCACTTGAGCTATCGTGACCTCGATCCACTCGGACACCAACCTCCCATCTCAACCACACCTTTTGAATTTTCCCTCCTTTTTGCCATTTTTCAAATGTCGTTTAATCGGATTGTATTCTCGACGACAAATGAAATGGCCACGGAGAGCTTTAGTGAAGTATACTTCATTTCAAACTTATTAAATTCATTAGTTTCGTGGTCCGCTTGACCAATTAATTGGTTTTTAATTTAATAAGTTTAACATGAAGTATACTTCACTAAAGCTCTCCGTGGCCATTTCATTTGTCGCCGAGAATCAAATTACACGACATTTGAAAAATAGCGAAAAGGAGGGGAAATTCAAAAGGTGTGGTTGAGATGGGAAGATGATGTCCGAGTGGATCGAGGTCACGATAGCTCAAGTGGTAGAGCAGCGGCGTATCAATCCGACGATCGTGGGTTCGAATCCCGCTCGTTCCATTGACTTTTTATCTCAACTGCAAACCTTAATTAATTGTAAGATATTAATTGGTCAAGCGGACCACAAAACTAGTGAATTGAATTGTTTTTAACTTGACTGAAAAAGAAACTTTTACTAACTTCTACTTGTGTTTTATTTATTGACGTTGACCCAAAATAGTAGCAATTAAGTTTATTTATATTTTTTATATTAAATTGGAAAATGGAAAATACCTACAATTCATTTATTTTTATATTTTTGTAATATGGCAAGTGTCATGTAGAAAAATAATAGGCAATTTCTTCCAGTTTGTGGAGTGTAGGGTATCATCGATCAGTCACATAAATCATATAAACAGACAGATTTCTCATTCGGATTTTCTAGCAAGAACATTCACATTCCCTATTACAATTGGGATTGAAGGAGAATCCGCGAACGGTCGAAGGCGGCATTCATATGCGGGATGTTCTACATTCACCCTCTTTCTACATATTTATGACAGTGTATAAAATGCCGTTCCGTTCATTATTTTAATAGTACGAATTTTGAAAAAGTATTTAACAAGTAACCTCCGTGCAAATCCCATGGCTATTTATGTGATAAAAAGCCAGCCTAAGGAAATTGCGACTTGTGACGTCTATTTTACGTGAATTTTCCAAGAAATCACCTCTATTGACGGCTAAGTTTGATTATAAGCTTTTGAAGACTGAAAAATGAAACTACTGTCTATCAATTACGCATGAATCGCTTTCTACACTTTCTACTTTTGATCAATATATGTATGTATATACATATTCAATATTCATCAAACATTATATTATGTATATGTATATATATATAGTGTCCCAAAATTAACGCAATATTTGAATTTGCCGCCATTTTTCAGTAAATTGTTGGCAACCCCGAAAAAAGAACAATTTGACAGCTGAGAGTTTAGGGTTAGTAAAAATGGAATATCAACAAGTGGATGCTGATTTTTCGAGCAATATCATCCTAAGCGATGAAGCACATTTTCACCTTGATGGCTTTGTTAATCGCCAAAACGTCCGTGTTTGGGGTTCGGAGAACCCACATTTGATTGTCGAACAACAAATGCACCCACAACGTGTCACTGTTTGGTGCGGATTTTGGGCTGGAGGCGTCTTTGGACCATACTTTTTTGAAAATGAGGCTGGCCAAGCAGCAACTGTACTGGTGCTCGATATCGCGACATGATAACGTCGCCGGGGGCCTTTCTTGATGTGGCCCAGGCCTTCGATCGAGTTTGACACCCGGGCTTGCTGTTCTCGCTCAAGGACATCCTTCCCTCAACCTACTACCTTTTCCTTCGAAGCTACCTCACTGACCGGTACTTCCGAGTCATTGAAGGATCGGCGTCTTCCCCAAACAACCTTCTCCTTACTGGTGTTCCGCAGGGCAGTGTTCTGGCACCCGTACTGTACCAAGTGTACACGGCAGATCTCCTATCCCATCCTCAAACTACTACTCTTCTCAGCGATCCTTTCAAGCAATTCTGATCCAGTCCTTTCCACTCGAAACCTTCAAGAACACCTCACACTACTGGAATCATGGTGCAAAAAAAAGACTCAAATTCGACCCAGAAAAATTCATTCACATAACCTTCACCCTCCGCAAAAAGATCCCTCTTCCAGTCTACTTCAATCAAATACCCCTCCCGATTGCGGAAAAGGTGCGCTACCTAGGACTATACATTGGCAAACGTCTGACGTGGAATCCCCACACACGACTGAAACGACAGGAAGTTGTGAAACGTTACAGAGCACTTTCTGACAGACGTTCTAACCTACCTCTCTTAAACAAAAGACTACTTTATATCACCCTAGGACTTATGGACTGGAAGTGTGGGGTTCAGCCAAACATTCCAATATCCTAAGCATCCAAAGAGCCCAGTCCATCATCTTCAGAAAAATTCTTAATCTCCCTTTTATGTGTCCAACGACTAAATATTCCTTTTGTCCAAGATGTAATCCACTCCCGTTACCAAAAATTTTTCACAACCCTCCCAACCACTATAAATCCTCAAATTCAAATCCTTTCATCCCGACGAATTCCTTCCAACCCTCTTCGCCGACTAAAAAGACGATGGCCACGGGATCTTCTATCCAGTGACAATTGAATAAAGAATAGTTAGGAGTACAACCAGTGGGTAGTTTCTCCACTCTTGTTTTCTTAATTGCTTATTCATACACTATTACTAGATACCAAAATGCAGGTAGTTGTAATGTACAATAAAAAGAAAAAAAAAAGATAACACAGTTCTTTCTGCGGAAATTGGCTGCTATTGATGTGGCCAATATGTGGTTTCAAAAAGACGGTGCCACATGCCATATAGCCAGTGAAACAATTCAATTACTGCTTGAGACATTTCCTGGTCGTTTACTCTCTCCTTTCGGTGATCAGAATTGGCCCCCTAGATCTTGTGATTTAACACCGTTACATTTCTTCTTATGGGGGTTATTTGAAGTCAAAGGTCTATGTCAACAAGCCCACAATCACCCGTGCATTACAAGAGGAAATTAAACGCTGCTTCAACGAAATTCAGTCACAATTATGCAAAAAGTCATGAAAAATTTCGACAAAAGAGTGCGTATGTGCCAACAAGCCGTAGATGCCATTTGTCCGATGTGTTATTCCATAAATAATGTATGATTTATTGAAAAAATAACACTCTAAAGACTAAAAACTGTGTTTTCTATTTAATTCAAACCTTGCGTTAATTTTGGGACACCATATATATCCTCCTAGNGAATAATCAACAACTACAACTCAACACTAACACCATCCACTATTACTAATAATAATACATTAAGTTTATCAAATACAAACAAACCAGCTTACATTTCCATGCCATTTGTTCAAGGCCTATCACATAAATTAAACACATTTCTCTCGTCCGATAACTTCAAAATAGCTTTCAAAAATTATAAAACAATCCAAACACTTGTTTCCAAAATTAAAGATCCCACACCAATAACAAATAAATCTGACGTAATCTACAAGATCAACGGTTTAAACTGTCCGGCAACTTACATCGGTCTTACATCCCAATTTCTGGACAAGAGAGTAAAGCAAAATGATTTGATGATTGCAAAAAACCAAAGCAAAATCCTAAATTCACTTTTCCACATCCTAAATGTATGTGTTAAATGTAAACAATGTTTGTAAATCCCAGGCCCTGAAGATGATCTCAATAAAGATCGAAACTTTGGCACGATAAAGAAAGTGTTTTTCTGAAACCTACATCACACCAGAACGCATCTCACGATTTCTGAATAATTAAATATAGAAAGCAATTATAAATACATTGAAACCTCTTGTGTAGGGACAGTAATGCTGTCACTACTTTTCTCCTTTTCCGAGAGGTGTCCAACGAAAGATTTTTAACATCAGAGAACACATTCCTTTTATACGTACAGATATTATATATAAGGCGAGGATTTAGATGTACATTACCAATGACTTTAAGATCTTTTTAAATTTTCCTTCCTAGCATTTTGCTAAGATTTAAGTTTTTGAAGAATTTTGGGATCATAGGGTGAATATCAGTCCAATAGCAGAACCTTGTCTGTCTGAATTTATTTTGAAACTTTAATTGATTGTGTCTCCATCCATTAAAGAGGGTGAGAATGTGTAGTGGTCAGGAGATGCCTCTTGACATTATTGAGAACCTAACCTCTCTTAGTAGTTGTAATGGCTTCGTCCACCAACACACCAATTCGTAAGTACCGTGGATAAAAATTAGGTTTCGTGGTCCGCTTGACCAAATAAATTCTTTTCAGTTAATTAAGGTATTGGTTGAGATAAAAAGTCAGTGCCACAAGCGAGATTCGAACCCACGACCTTCGGCTAAATACGCCGCTGCTCTACCACTTGAGCTATCGTGACTTCTATCATGAGCAGCGGCGTATTTAGCCCAAGGTCGTGGGTTCGAATCCCGCTTGTGGCACTGACTTTTTATCTCAACCAAAACCTTAATTAATAGATTAGGTTTAGAGGTAAGTTAGGTTTGTTTTAACAGTTTCAGTTGTAATTTGTGGCACATTGAAATATCCAATATTGGATTTTGTTGATGTATTTTTATGGTATAAGTAGAAGGGATTTAATTGGACGTCGTTGTAGTAGTATTGCGATTTAATTAATTTTGATGTCTGCGTGAAAACAGAAGGTTCGCTTTGATCTTTTTTGGCCATAATTATTTTTGTAAATAAGAGAAACTTTTAAAATTGTCATTTACTTTCATTTTCCGTATTTTTTGTCGATATTAGGAATAATTGATTGTCATGGTGATAAGCTTTAGACTATATCGACATGTTTGAAATAAAATTGAGTAAAATTTATGTACATACCCATTGAGCTGAGTGACGATTCTTCAACGACGGCCAAGCTGCTGTTGTGAATCGTCAAGTGCCTTATGTCAATCCCGAGAAAGATGAAGCTTTGCAGCTTTGGCAGGTTGTTGTGCCTCAATTTGAGGTAGTAGACGACGATGTTCGACTTGCCCTTAATTACAGCCATCGCCTTGTTAATGTGGAAGAAATCCGTGAACTCGCAAAGTATGTCTAGCCCGTTTTTCTTCACGACGCAAACGCATGGGTTGATTTCCTGGCGAGGCGGACACTGGTAAGTCGGTCCGTTTTGGGGCATCTGACCTCCCACACAGCCCACCGCCACCAGAAAGATCGCCCAATAGAGATTCATACCGGTCTCCACGAGTCCATCAATAACCACACCTGAAAACACAATTAATGGAAGGTTAAATTTCCATTTAAGGCACAAAGAAAAAACATATTTGTTATTCTGACCAACAGTTTTTTTTCTGCCTAAAACTTCTAAGTTACTAATAAGGAAAACCTTCTGACGTCAGATCACAAATTTTAATGAAATTTTTCCGGTGACAATAGGTAGAAAAATATTATTTTCAATATAGAAATGTAGTTTATATATACAATACAATTTTCTGCCTTTGTTATGCATGTATATCAAGATTTTTATGCATTAGTCAGTTTGTTATTTTAAGTAGAAAGGGAAAATAACATGTAAGGTTGTATTAAATTAAACTAGATAAATAAAAATTTTAAAAAGCAAAACAAGCTGCCAGCAAAGTAAGTCCAAAATAATTTTGTTGAAATAAACAAACAACATTAAAAATTTAAGCATCCTTTAAAACTTTTAAATACGAATTTTCATGGCAAAAAAGCAATTTTTTCTCTGATGTCCGGTTTTCCAACAGCTCCTGTGGATTTTATACAAGTCCAATGTTATTACAACCTTTAGAAAGTTAAATTATTTATTTTCTGCCTAGGTTTAGGTTTTATGCCATTATAAGTGGCAAAATTAAGGGTGAAATCAACAAGAACTCAAACGTTTTATTTTATATTTTCGGTTCTAATTTGTTCACGGAGGTCAAATTTGTGGCATGTAAGTAGTTTCCAAATTCCTATAATGTTTACGGTGGATCGGTTGAGTCTTTTCAAAGTTGTTAGTATTTTGTTATTTTTGAAAAAAATATCGAAAACATTTGTTAAGACGAAAGTATAGATTTTTTTATTTCGCTAAAAAATTATTTTCAGAAATTTATTGGAGTTCAAAGAATAATTATCAACTTAGTTTCTTGTTAAAAAATTATTTTAACCTACTTTCCTATGTCTCTCGGTCATAAATTGTGTATTTCTATGGGTATTTTATGCCAATATGATTAATTACTACCACCGTCAATGAAAATTTTAAATTTTATATATACGGAATTACTGATAATTTTTTTAAATGTAGAAATTTACAAAAATTCTTTTGGTGCAATCCGTTATTAATTTCTATACCTAAATTACTAATACCAAAGATGCCATAAAAAGGTAGTTTTTATCTGTTCAAATAACATAATGAGCTACATAGAATTGATGTGATGACCCAAGAAGTAAATGATCATTGACAAATTAGCAAATGCGGATTTGTTAAAAAAAATCGATTAAGATCGAATACCGCTTCTAAAATTATTATTGAGTCGTATGTAAAACTGATGAATTCTAGTGGATCAAGAACTTTATATATGCACCTTCGGCAATGCATAATATAATTATAATACCGAATACAATGTAAGAAGATCATAATGAACAAAATACGTTTATGCAGCAGGTTTGAATACTGGCGGGAGTGTGTCCTACTTTCACAGCGGTTTGAAGGATTTGTTCCTTCAGTTTCTCCAACCTCCGGGATAGCCGTGATCGTATAGTGGTTAGTACCTTGCGTTGTGGCCGCAATAACCCAGGTTCGAATCCTGGTCACGGCAATAAAATTTTAATTCTAAAAACATACCGAGTGTCTTTTTAAAAAGTATTCTGTTACTTTTTTTGCGTGCATATTGAAATTTTCGCAACTTGTACTTAAAAAATATGATAGTTTGGCACAAATTTAAGTTTGATGTATTAACAAGCCTCCTAGCCATGTTCAAATATTATTTTATTTATATGTTTTTGTTGGTCATCTTAACCAAAGTATATTTTTATTATTAATTGATTATTTGATTTTAGTATGGAAATATGACAGTTTGAGATAGCTGTATTTGAAACAGTAACATATCATTTTTTTCATTTTATTGCCAAACTGGTCAATTATATTTACATGGTCATCTTACCCCAATTATATTTTTATTTATAATTAATTATTTTATTTTAGTACGGAAATAAAATAGTTTCTGATAACTGTATTCGTAACAGTATAATCTTGAAAAAATACATTTTTTATTATATTTTTCTTTTTATTACCAAACTGGTCAATTATATTCACATGGTCACCATGCCCCAAGTATATTTTATTTTTTATTAATTATTTTATTGAAGTGTACAAATATGTTTGTTGGAGATAATTATACTCATAACAGTAACACCTAAAAAGTTTTTTTTTTCGTTTTATTATCAAACCGGTCAATTATAGTTATATGGTTATCTTACTTAAACTTTACAATTTAAGCACCCTTTAGAACCCTTAAATACGAATTTTCATAAAAAAAGCTAGACATTTTTAGGCTGCATTAGTTAGGAGCAATTTTTTTCTGATGTCGGGTGTTCCTGACCTTAGATAATAACAACAATTAATTAAAGTTATTGCAATCGTTGTGAAGATGAATTTTCATAGAATCTATTTCTACAATTTTTGGGTCTGATAAAATAAATGAGATTATTTGTTGAGTTCCAAAAAATTTGTATTCCGAAGGGTTTTTGATGCAGAAACTGAATACCAACTTTGTTTTTTCCTTAAAATATTCTTTAACCTACTTTGCTAAAACAGGAAACGATTCAATCTAACAGCCAGCTTCTGTTGACAAAATAGTAATAATAATAAATCATAACTTTCAGTTTATGAGGATACATTTATAAATTGTATACATTTAATGTTAGTGGTAAAATAAATATTTAAATTACGAATTTAATTTTTTTAGTTTTAGAGGGGCACACTAAATTGTACATCGCCAGCCCTCTTTTTCTTTTCTTTTCTTTCTCGCGTTTTAATATTACTAATTTATTTTCTTCTTTCTCCAGCCAAGTTATGATGAGGTATGATATGACGTCTCTGTCTTTTCTTTATCCTGGCTAGCCTTTCTACCCCTCAGGGCTATTTGATGGCTGTCAATTGATAAAATAGCACAAATACATATGAAATAGAAACAAAATAAAACGTGATAGTCTGGTTAGCATTCACACTACCTCAGATTTGTCGATATTCCACGGGGTAGATATATTCACTTAAAAATTGAAACTTAAAAATATATTGACTTAAAAATTGAAACTTAAAAATATATTGACTTATAAATTGTAAATATATTCACTTAAAAAAATACATTCGTTTCAATAAATCACACATATCATATAAATGTAAAAAGATCAATGTAACGTTGCAATAAAGAAAAAGGTGTGGTGATTAGTGACCGTTAATCGATATTTATTTAGAAATCGTGAGATGCGGTCTGGTGTGATGTAGGTTTCAGAAAAACATTTTCTTTATCGTGCCAANGAGAGTATGGGAAATTATTTTGATTAAAGAACATTGCTTTAAAGTAACTAGTTTCTTTTTTTTTGTTTAATACCAAAATCCTGCATTATTTTCCGGACAACCCAATACAAACATTGTTTACATATAACAATTACATTTTGGATATGGAAAAGTGAATTTATACAATGTAAAATATATTTTTTTTAATTTCAATCAAAGTATTTCTACTCGCTCAAAGTGTTTGTTTTCTGAATAACTGTACTTTGATTGAATATATAAAACATATATTTTGCATTGTATAATTTCACTTTTCCACATCCAAAATGTAATAGAAACATGTCACTTTCATTTCCCCAGAATTGTGCATATAATTTTCATCCTACATGTAAAAAGAAAGAAGAGGAGCTATAATATAACAATTTTGATGTTTTGAAATGGACCATACGTAGAAATTTATAATAACAACAAATAGGGAAAAAAGCTGATTTCTTGAACAAGTATCACATACAAATCAGATTAAAAAAATTATATAAATTATTTGAACAAAATTTTTTTCGGTTTTTAGGGCCTAGAAAGAACGCTTGGATAAATGTTTAATGTTTTTTGAAAAAGAGTTTAATTTAAATCGACGATCTGTTGTTTTAATTTGTCTCTGTGCCTTTTGGGCCGATTCGTGTATAGTGCGAATGTTGAAATTGTCAATACGAATTTCCCGCGGTATTGTAACGAACGTGCATTAAACCGGTTTGAATTCAGCCCACACTGCCTGTTGAAAACTTGAGCTCGACAAATGGGATTTGGATTGATCATTGATCGAGTAGTTTTTTAAATTATAATCCATCGTTAGTTATGCGCAACAGGTTCCGATGGAGCAAAAATGTTCATTTGCTTTACATTTGGCTCATGGATTGTTTTTATGATATTTCTCCACGAATAATCTGGAACGCGGTATGGTCTGGAAAAAACAAATTCAATTGTTATCTGCCAAGGATGAGCTGGGTTATCGACCTGCTGGAAACGAAGTTTTTCGGAGGATCTACGGAAGAGGTCAACACAGAGAGAAAAAAAACTTCCTTTCAGTTTTCGCCGAGCTGTCGACAGTTTTTATACTGTCATCTTCAAGGCCTGTTTTATTATCATATAAAAAACAACAATTAAAAACATGAAAAAACAATTGCACAAAAATTGAAAATTCGATATATCTTACTTTAACCTTAATGGGGAAATTAAAAGGAACATGGTGTTGGCACTTCGGCGAAAACTGAAAGGAAGTTTTTTTTCTCTTTGTGGACCTCTTCCGTAGATCCTCCGAAAAACTTTATCTGCCAAGCTTCATGCTGCCCTGATGATGACCTTAAAATAGGTGGAAAGCTTGGCAGATAACAATAAATTAGTTTTTCCAACTAAACCATACAGACCTCCATTTGTAAGTAGAAATGTGTCTGAACTTCTAACGCTTTAAACAGGAATTGTATGATACTGTTAATGATGTAGTAAACGAGGTCTTGGTCTGTGTTCAATATATATATATTTTCTACATTTTTTCAAAAATATTTATTTTTATTCAGTCAAGGGTTTATGATATGATATTTGTTAGGTGTATGTTAATTGCGACGTTACACATCAGAGTCCAGTTGATTAGAAATTGTATCTACACAATTTTTACGTATTGATTTATTTTTTTCATTTTTGGATTGTTCATTCCTTACTGTCTAAAATTTTATAGGCATAAAAATTGTAATATTCT